GTGTTTAATAACTTGTAACTATTCAATACCCTATTTAATTAGTTGTCATATTTCCTTAAAATGCTAAGCCTTGATAGGTGTATTCGGCATATTAGGGGCTATAACTCCTCGGTGCCTTCTCTAGGTGTTTTTTGCGGTTTATAACAGTTATAATTATTCACCTGTCAACTTAATACTATTAAACCGTCCAAAATCCTGTCCGTCGGTAAGCCTACTTTTGAACTCTAATAAGAGCACTATTACTGAAATTTCACCTGGAGAAAGGAAAAAGATGCTGAGAAGTCAATTTAAGCCTAATTTCTCTCTCATTGGTTGTCTGCCTGCCATGATCTTCCAGAATTGACCAATCTAGCAACAATCCAAACTGTAAACAGAAGAGTTTAGGTCACATCACCATGTACTGATCAAATATCATGCTGGTTACTGGTAGTGGCAAGTGGGAATTCAGATCATTTGCCGCCTCATACTGTTTAAGATTGGCACTTTTCATCTTTCATTCGCATCATTGTTTTTTTTATTTTATTGCATAATGTTCAGATTTGTGTTGTCGATTTTTTCGAATTCAATACTTAATCATCGTAATTTAAACACAATTAGAGTATGTCTCCAACTGATTCACATCATTGTTGCAATGAAAGTGACCATTCTCCATTTTGCCACTTTCACCTTCCTGCTGTTATGTATCAAAATAGGGATAAAAACCTATGGTACTCATATTTTATTTTTTGGTATTATTTTAAAAACCATTCTTCCATCATAGATTTTGAAGTGTTTGTAATCGTTGGTCATTATAAAATAACAAAATGAACTGAAAACAATAAAATCTCTATATCAAAACCTTTGATTTTTTTTTATTTTTTTATCAATGACGAATCATTCTAACTATGTATTATTTGAACTTGTAGTTAACAATTCGAACTAACACAATCACACAATAAGTTATGCAAATGGTATGAATCATAATTGTCTTGCGAAAATTGAACTTGACATCTTAACATAGTAACATTTGGTGTCTTTCCATCCGAACTATTTTGATAATTTTTTCAATCGTTTTTGATTCTGAGTTGCAATATTTTCATTTTCGTATTCCAGACAAATCTCTATGCGACTTGTACATAGCATAATAATATACACTAACATGACTCAACATCTCCTCTAATTTTTTTTTTAATGAATAAAAATTCACTTATATTTATTGAGTTAGGCTTGAATTCACGATAACTAATACACCAAGAAAAATTAAGGATCCCATTCTTAACAGGATACAAAAATCATATGCTATAAGCATGAGGNAAAAATTTTGTTTTGCATCGAAAAAATTCAGTTTCAAAAAGGTCCAATATAAGCATCCCATACACTTAAGATTTTTTAAAGTTAGTAATTGATTATGTTCTTAACACAATTGAACAGTGACGTNGGCAAGATAAAGTGCCCAGCAACCATCTTAATAGACCTTCATCGGTGGGGGATCAAAGCTTTTGACCGTGCCTAAAATATCTCTTAGAACCAAATATAACTAGGTTAACATAGCAGTCAATCACTAAATCTTAATGGAGACTCCAAGACTCAAATTCTCAATTTTAATGTGAGGGGCGGCTGGCTTTTAGAATNGGATTTGGGGATAAGTGAGATAATTATGCAGAGTGTTTATAGTGGTTCACCAATTTGAGAGTTCGGCTAATCCACTTTCAAGAGAGTCTCTTGCTCCTGAATGTATTGATTACTGTGTAAAGTTTACAGATAGTATTTTTCTGAGCTACAATGACTTTTTGTTCTTTTCAAAAGTTTTACCTCTTATTTATAGTTATTCTTAGGTCTTGCTTGATCTGAGACGAAATTTTTGTCCCCTCTCTTATAACGGTTGCCTTTATTACGCAATGAAATTTGCACCTGCTGAATAGGTGTTGCTACAAAAAAAAACAAGTACGCAATGGGATCTAACTGTACTCTGTACCGCCTTCTTTGAGACGTGGATATAAGAAGTTAAGGTCTGTAATTAATATAGATGAGATGAGCTCAACTCGACATAAATAGTATGACTTGAATTACGGCACTCAACCTTGAGTATTTTTATGGTACGATGAATAATACTAGAATCCAATTGTGTTTGAACTTTCACAAACCTCCAAGCAGAAGGAGAAATTTATCACGTAAATTCTTAACAAAGCCAACCACTAAAGCAAATGACATCGTTCTAACCCAACTAGACTTAGTCATCACACTATTCCTCAAATGAGTGTTAGTGGTCTCGTGTCTGTGTCATTTGAATTGTGAAAAGGACTTGAATGAATAGACATAAACAATCACTGATAATGCTTATGAAAAAGGACTATTATTACTATTAGCAATGTGGGGGGGGGGGGGGGGGGGGTGC